AATTCCAGTCTGGCTTTTTTATGATTTGTTTTCAACAATGGTGTCCTCCTTGGTCGTCTCCTATGAAGTCCACTTTGGCTCAAACAACGACGGATGGTGCGATCTGACACTGATGTACCTTGACCTTGGAGTTCACCTTTAATGTCTTTAGAGGTTGTTCTGGGCTCTTTTGTTACTATTCGTATTATCAGTCTCTTCGATTTGTCATAAATTTTCCTCTTGCGGTCACATCCAGGGAGGTTGGCTACAGTCCCATGGATCTAAAATTTGTGAATAATATGTGCAACTGTAGTCACAGGAACATCAAGCTGTTTGGAGATGGTCTTATAGTCTTTACCGTTAACATGCTTTTCTATAATTTTCTTTCTAATCTCCTGAGACAACTCTCACCTTCGCTTCTTCTGGTCCATGTTTGGTGTGGTACACACCATGTCACCAAACAGCACAGTGACTACTTGTAACACTATAAATAGGCCGACTGACTGATCAAAAGTTTGTAGACACCTGTGATGTTAATTAGAGGACACACCTTGATTGAACATGTCCCTATGGTCACATTATTTTCAGTCTTTTCTAGGTGTACCATCATTTTTGTCCAAGCCTGTTTCATGAGTTTGTTTTTTTAAATAACTCTGTTGAACCACGTTTCAAAAGAAATGTCTGATTTTCATTGGCTAATTTTCATAGAATTTGTATTTATTATTACTTTTGTCAGATTGAAGTTATTTCTGTGACCGCTAGGTTTTTCTTTCATTAACCGAGGGGGAACCAACAATTTTACACACACCACACACCACACACCACACACAAGGAGATTGTTTTAAAAAAACAACAGTTTGTGAGCAAAGAATATTATTTTGAATATTTGTCTGATATCATCACTGATGGATCTACCTTGTAAAAGTCACACTGATCTGGGTAACTTATATTTACTTTAAATCTATTTTCAACACATTTAGCTTTTAGTTCAGCATCATTCCACTGTAGTGTAATGGTCCTCAAATTATTTAATCAATCTGGATCCTTATTTTTTCCACATGAATCCTGTTTTAATAGTAATGACACTGAACCTTCCTGAGTTTTTTTTTTTTACCTTATATATGTTGTTTTTTTTGTTTGTTTTTTTTTTTAAAGATATTTTAAGGGACTTGGACATGTCACTGCCAAAATGGCTCCACAGCGCCACCTTGAAAATTACGCCGGAGTCCTGTCGGAAGCA